ACGATTTGGCGAGACCAATAACAACGAAGTCACTATCTGGTCGTGGCATTTCGAGCATGTAGGAAAATTTGGTCGGAATTTTTGGGTTATGTACGGTTGAGAGAGCGCGACGTGCGCACAGATATAGGCGTTTATAAATGTCTTGATAAATAACGCCTTGACTGATGATTGATGATCTATATAACGCCTTGATTGAAAGGCGTTGATAAACTATATTTCATCCAGAGAGCAAACGCAATCGGCGCGAAACACCCGTGTGTCGAAACGTCATGTAAGTGTCCGACTTTCGGTACAAGGAACAAGACGCACCGATTGTTACGCGGCTCGGTTGACCTTCGCGTTGAACGCTACAAACAAACCCGCTTTCCATCACACCAGAAGTAGATAATAGGGAATCCCTTATTATCTACTTCTGATCACACCCATCATTAGTTGATTAGAACGAGTCGTGTGTTACGCTCGCGGGAGCTTTACGCCAGCGTGTGCTGTTATGCTTAGATGATGAGTGGCGTGTAAATATCATGGTGTGGACATAATCATCATCAGCAAACACCTCCGACACAAATCTGGACTAGGTTCGCACCCCTGTATAGATAGATGTGCTGCTCTCCTCAGATATAGGAGCGTTGCAAATAAATCTCACGTATAATGTGAGCATTCACCCGAAACGCCGCGCGAGAAATAGCTTTACGAATTATGCTGGCTGAATATATGCGTGTTCTTGTTTGTGCCTCAACTTTTCATTTATTTATACATACATACATACTACTTTACTGTACATATCTGTCTTCTCGCAGTGCAGTGTCTTAGTGTGTGTATGCACAGCTTAGCAAACCTTATGCTCCAATATCTGCGCTGTACTCGCGCTCGCACAGTATATCTGCATGTAGCCATGATCTGACAGTATCTGTAACATACCCATGCTGTCCCATGGTCGCCTACCTCTGTTGTGCCTATACATGTACCTATGCTATCTCTCTATCTGCACGGTGCCCCTTTATCTCTGTGGTGATCAGAGATCAGATATACGTGTTTGTGCCCGTGTCACCCTGTGTGTTTGTTTATCTCTAAGGTGTCACTTTATCTCTGGTATGTGTCTGTAAAAATTTATGCTGTTGAATGGTGCATTAGCATGGTGTACTTCTATCTCCTTTATATAAAAAAAATTATCCGTCTCCGTTCACGGTGTCAGTTGGTGTTCCTCTACCCCTTGTTGGTCTTGTCTGTCTTCATACTGCCCTATTTCCGATCGCTTTCCTATGTTTGCGTGTTGCTCCATTACTTGGCTGTACCGACACTTTCCCGTGGCGTCGTGCACCTCAACGTATGCCATCGTTGCGGACACACAGACATGACGGATCATCATCATCATCATCATCATTATCAGCAGCAGCAGCAGCAGTAGCAGCAGCAGCACCACCAGCAGCAGCAGCACCAGCAGCGGCAGCAGCACCATCACCACCAACAACAACAGCAGCAGCAGCAGCAGCAGTAGCAGGCGCTTTTAACCTATGCCTGTGTGCTTACTCACGCTATCGTCTCCCATAATTGCAGCCACACAGACATGACGGACCAGCAGCAGCAGCAGCAGCAGCAGCAGCAGCAGCAGCAGCAGTAGCAGGCGCCCTTAACCTATGCCTGTGTGCTTACTCACGCTATCGTTTCCCATCGTTGCAGACTTACAGACATGACGGACCAGCAGCAGCAGCAGCAGCAGCAGCAGCAGCCGCCGCGCTGCGTGCTCGACAGCCAGGGCTACATCACGCTGCAGTGCATCCTCGACTCCTTCAACACGCCCATCAACGAGGAGCAAGCGTGGGCCGTCTGCTACCAGCTCGCGCGCCACCTCAAAGCCGAATGGAAGCGCGCCGGACCCGACTGCCGCGCCCTCTCCGGCGCCGACTCCATCCGCCTGCATCGCGACGGGTCGGTCGACGTCGCCCCGGCGTCCGAGCCCGCCGGCTCGGAGCACCGCCTGGTGGAGAGTATCGGCATCGCCATCTTTTCCGCGCTCGACTACGGCCTCGACGGCGGCGAGGAGCGATCGCTGAGCGCGCCGCTCGAGCATCTCATCGCCGCCATGACGATGCGCGGCGAAGCCATCGCGAACAACAACAACAACGGCGGCGCCCTCCAGCGGGCGTGGCAGGACGACGAGGGCATCGAGCACGACGCGGCGTCTGACGGGGACGACGACGCCCCGGCGGGTTCGTTCGACGACGTCGCCCGCATCTGCAACGCGCGGCTCGCCGGCGCGGACGACGACGGCGCCGCGCACTACAAGGCCGTGTGCCGCGCGCTCGTCGCCGAGAGCGTCGAGCTGTCGACGTTCCTGCAGCGCGTGCGCCGCAACGGCGCGTCGGCGGCGCTGCACGAGATCAGCAACGAGTCGGAGCTCGACGAGGGGTGCCTCGACGAGATCTGCATCGCGGACTGGGCCGTGCTGTGGATGCAGGTACGCGGGCGCGCGCACGAATGTGCGGGTGTGAATGTGCGTGCGTGAGGGGGGCTGAATGTGAGGGGGTGAATATGCGGGTGAATGTGGGGATGAATGAATGAATGAATGACTGGGCCGTGCTGTGGATGCAGGTACGCGGGCGCGCGCGAATGTGCGGGTGTGAATGTTGGGATGAATGTGCGGGTGAATGTGTGTGCGTGAGGGGGGCTGAATGTGAGGGGGTGAATATGCGGGTGAATGTGGGGATGAATGAATGA